TGTGTAGAAAAACAGTTTGACAGCTGTAGTCTGGCACTTCCTTATCGTAACTTGATACAACATTCCAGAGAGACAGTCACGCCTCAGATTTATACTCCACTCTGCTTCTGGTATTTCAGCTTTAATGGTTCATGGTGTCAACTCATGTGTTGTTTGGATAAACTTAATTGACTTGTTAAATTAGAAACGTTTATGTTCTGTTTCTCTTTTTGTCTCCCTTCACACATGATTTTGTGCCATGATCCAATGGAAAAGTACTTTGTAAATCACTGATTTGTGCTACTTGGTTGTAATAAAGCTCGTATTTTGTGCTTATGCTCTTTGAACTCTTGAGTACTATACTAAGTTTATGCCACCTACTATGAGCTTTGTTCCATCTTTCATCAGGAAACCTTCAAAAATTGTTGATTAGATTACACAGAAGATCTGCATTGAATATTTGTGTGCACAATAGCTTAACTTAGTATGCTGCTATAGATTGTATTCAGAATCACAAACACTGTGATTTTTTTTTACCCTAGCTGAAATTTGGAAATGTTCACAGATCATAGTGAAAAGCAAAGTGCTTGTGGAGAAAGAGAAGTAAGTTTTCAAGGCACATCCAGTACAGAGCAGTAACACCTCGTTCTCTACTGCCATGCCTGGAATGCCAGTCCTTTGTTTGCCCCTGATTTTTTTTTTCCTGTGACCCTGAATTGATCTTTTGAGTTTTGTCTTTTTCCATAAGAATTTATATTAGGATGTGTAATAAGTGGGTAGCAGTAGCTGGGGGAATGATGGTTGTGCTTCTGTTCATTTCAGGCTAGTAGTGTAGAGAAGCAGCTTTCCCTGTTATGGTAGTAGTGTACATCTGAAAAAGCCTGATGGGTTTTTTTTACCAGTCACTTTTCAAAGTCAAAGACAGAGAAGGGATCCCACGCACTCTAGGAAAAGTGTGCTTTTAGGTCTGGTTGTAAAGAGTGGTCTTACTGTCACTTGTTTGCCTTAAATACTGTAATTGTTGGTTTGGTTTGGTTTAAAAACAGTAAAAAGAGTAATATTGTGTCCATTTTTCACCTGTGGGGCTGTATTTTATACCTGCATAACCATAGTCAGAACTCTTGTAAATGAAACATTGTGAGCCACAATTGAGCATCAGATATTTCAAAATTTCAGTGCCAAAGAAAATTGAAGGATATTGGAGAAATTCCTGTTTCGTCACTTATGGAAAGTATCAAAAAAATTAAAAATTCCAGTGTCTGATTTACATCCCAAATTTTTCGAGTGAGAAAACCCAATTAAATGGAGCCACTAGCAAGTGGCAGTATAGTTAGTAGTAGCCACTAACTGCATGGCACTACTGCTGCTTGATGTAATGTACATTTTTGAATTTGAGTTCTGGAGTGTACAGTATTGATCTATTTATGCAATTTATTAAAATATTTTTTATTAAATCAATGTGGTGACATACCTTTACTTTGAGAAAGAAAGGTTTTTCAGTCTGAAGCAGCCTGTTAAGTGTTCCTGTCCAGTGCTTGCTTCAGTCTGTGCCTCATCACAGTACGGAGAACATGTACATGTTCAGCAGACATTCCTGATTTTTCTTGAGCAGTGGAGTAGGATCATTGTCCTGAGTCAGTTCTGGCACAGCTGTGGAATGCACAGCTTGATCTGCCTTTCCACTGCCAGAATCACTTGCCTTTGGCTGCCAGGGAGGAAATTGGGCCGTTTTGCTCTCTTCTGGTACAATGGTTTAATTTACCTCAGTTTTTGTTGTGTTTACCCAATTACTGTGTCTTGGTTCCCATGAGCCAAGTAAAAGCAGGAGCTGTGCCAAAGGTATGAGACATTTTGAACTCAAATATTGCTGCACCTGAGGTTTTGGCATAATGGGGAGTTTACAATGCAATCATCTCACAACAAAATCTTTTAATCTCATTATAGTTTTTGCAATTAAAGTATAATAACATTCATATCATTACCAGAGACATGGCTCATTGTTCAAACTGAACATGGCCCATGGGTGTGCAGCAGGGGGGAGTTCTAACTGGAGATTTAAAAAAAAAAAGAAAAAAAAGAATGGTTTATTCTTTCAAAGCAGCAGTTTAATCTTGTTTCTGTAGATCCCAGATCTCTGAGTGATCCAGGTCTGTGTGCTGGATTCGCTGGATTCTTGTCACAGTGTAGGCAGGGTTGTGCCCTGAGGGCTCCTCTGGTGCACTAGAGTTTGATATTGTGTGTCCATCACTATTGCCTTCAATTAGGTGCCCTTTAGTGCTCAGCCTAGGAGGTAGGCTGTGTTAACAGTAAATGTATTGTTCCCTTCCACCCCATCTGATTTTTTGGAATCTGTCCACAGACCAGTGTAGGTGGATGTGGGACCTTCGGGAGCTGTTTCTCTTAGCAGTGCTCAGTGCCAGGCTTTTCCTTCCTGTAGTTCTGATGGCAAAACACGAGGGTGCCATAGGAGTGGCAGTATGACAGTGCAATACTGAAAATAGTCATAAGCAAAGAGAGCTTTTCATTGGTAAGCCAGAAGGGAAAAAAACCCCACTAATCTCTACTAGGAAATGTCAGATTTTTATCTCTTTAGCATAAAAATAGTCATCTGACAACACATAAAAGTGAATTTTATACATGTTAGAACTGTCACTGGTGTAAGAGATGCAAACTATCATTTTAATCTTAAAAGCTTTGTGGAGGCAGAATAATAGTCTCTTAACTGCCCTTAAAAGGTTATGTGTTTTTCTCATTTTTAACACTGGAAAACTTGATGCAGTTTTGATGACACTGAACCCTGCTATGGGATAAAATAATCAAGATTCTAAAAGAAGCCATTGTTTTGGATTTTTTTCTATGTTACTCAAAGTACACCAGTGTGTTCTGTAATATATTAATTCTGTTCAAAGACGTGAAAATGTTATTCTTAAATATGAGCAAGAAATGGGTGTAGAAGTCATAAGGTGGAGAAGATATTCTGTATGTGCAAGATAGAACCTGAAATAATGTATTTACTCACTAACGGTGTTGATTAAAAGTATCTGAATCTGTACAAGAGACTGGTTAAACATTTACTGAAAACTCTGATGACCTTGGTGAGGTGCTTGTACAGCAAACATACAAAATTACGTTTTGAATTTAGTATTTTCTTTTTTAATACATGACTTTGTAGTGGAAACTGAACTAATTTGTTCTGGTCCTCTCATTCTTCAAAACCTTAGAGAACTGGTAGGCATTTGACTGGGTCTCTGGACAAAAGCAGTGAATTTTCCTGTTTCTTCAGGTCCAAATTGGCCAATTTTGAGTAGTTACTCAGATGTGAGTGTACTGTTGCAGAACAAATTACTGTCCAGAGCAGTTTTGTGTCACCACCAGAAGTTAAGAACAGGGCAAAATGTAGGAATGCTTTCAGGTTGGGAAGTGGCATGAGTTTGTTTCATAAACCTGCATGGATCTGTATTCCCAATCCTTGTTTCCCCTTAAAGTAGGGTTAATTTCTCCCATCCATGGTGACTTTTGGCAAGTGAGATAAATCCTGCCCTTATTTGCAGGAAGGGTTCCTGCTGTCGTAAATTGCTTAAAGGTTTGAAGAGAAAGTGACTTGAATTCTCAGGTTTGTGATTCGGTGTTTTTGAACCTCTTCAAGCTTGATATATTAAGCACCATGTCAGTGTTATTTTTATAAGGATTATGTCATATTATAGAAGCTTAGATCTAAATTGTAAAATTCATAATAATCTTGCTTTTAATCCTGAACTTCTTTTGAGGCTGAGCATTGTCTCCTGTTAATAGATTTAGCTGAAAGCTATGGAATTAGCCTGATTATTCCTTTCCCTTCCAACCTCTTCTGATTTCCTTTATTTTTTAAAAAATACACAATAATAACTTTGATATCTTTTTTGTGGTATTATTTGCAGTTTTGTGTTTTCATGTAGTGTCAGAGTGGTTGTAAGTGCTCCAAAGAAGCTGAGCTCTTCTGTCTGCTAAGTAATACTTTTTCTCTGTATTCTGGTGGTGCTGAGATACTCAAAAGTTTCTCTTTCTTCAAAAGAAATGATGGGGTCATTCAGATTTTCATGGTGGGTGTTTAATAAATCTGGGTCTGTGATGCATGTGCTTTGATGGGGTATAAAGGCTCCTCTAATTCTTAAATATTGAAAGAATGGAATAGAAAAGTTACAGGTTGTATCAGGAAAAATAGAATTACCTATTGAAGGGAAGAAAAGTGGGAAAACATGGAGCAGTCAGAATAAAATTATGTTGGTTGTCAGAGGTGAAGGAGAACAGAGTGCTTTGGTTTTGTCCTGGGTGAAACTTTACAGGCTGATTTTTTTGTTTTGTTTTGTGACTGAAGCATCTCTGGGAGATGGTACCCTGGTTACTGTAAAAGGGGGAAAGGTAATGTCAGAGCGCCTGTGCATAGTGGAACTCAGGCAGCTCATCCCAGTCCAAGGTCCAAGTGCCCTGGGTAGCTTTGCGTGAGCAAGGAAGCAATGGATCCTCACCTCAGCCTTTTGCAGTTTCCATGTGAGGCAGCCTTGCTGGGGCTGCTGGGCGCTGGCACAGCCCAGCCCGTGCTCTCTGGGGGCACACAATGGGCTGGCCAAGAGTTCTTTGGCTTTTGAGCCACGCTAGGGAGGTACAGCTGGCCTAAAGTGCTGCAGTGCCTGGCAATAATACCAAGTAAATGAGGCTGCTCACCGATGGTAGGTTAGGACTGGATAATCTGTGTAGAGATATGTTTTTTCAGAATTAGGTAAAAAAAAAAAAACAACCCAACCCAAAACTACTTGCCATCCATCTTAGCGTGTAATGGCCTTCAAGAATATGAAGTTTAATTTTGAATAAAAAGTTACTGGCTGGCAAGTAAATGGATGAAAGCTTTATACTGAATAATTTTTAAGAGAGATTTGTATGGGGTTTGTGTACTAAAAGTATATAATGATTATTCAATTAATTCATTATACTTTGTAATAATAAATACAAATGTGTAATTTTGATTTATTTTTCTTTTTTTCCAGCTCCAGTTGTTAACCGATACAACAGAAGAGTATCAGGTATGGTTGGTTTTAAGAGTTTAAAGTATCTGAAATAGTTTTGAAATGTGCATCTGACTAAAGGAATTACATTTAAAATTACCTTTCTCTTATTGCCTTATGTCTCATAATTCTTGCATTATTTTTGTTTGAAATAATGAGAATTGTTTCTTAATTCACTTAATTCAATGGTCAACACATTTAGAGTAGTTAGAAAACAGAAATATGGGGGTGCTCCTTTTTTGTATTGTGCAACTGATATTTATAGTTGTTGAATTAGTGGCTGTTCACTTGTTCTAGAGACACAGATTATACTTATTTATTTATTTGTTTTCTATCTCAACCAATATGAAATGCTTTAATGAGGAACTGTACTCCCAAAAAATTCCTTTACAAGTTGATTTTGAAGAGTATCATGTGAACAAAATGTTATGTGGTGATGAGAAGGTATTGCATTATTTTTTCTTTTGAGGTGCAGTGTGAGTTGCTTTGCATGTGGTACTTTTTTGTCGTCAAATATTTTATTAACATTTAGCTAGTCTAGAAAGTTGTAATTCTGATTTAACAATTATCTTTATGAAAATGCCAATGTATTCAGTGTTTTCTCTCTAGTTTTGAGTTCAAGTCTCCTCAGTGTGCAATTCATGTGGATAATCTGACATATTCTTGGGTATGTTAGTTATGGTGGGATATTGTTGATAATACATTTATTTACGTACCATGTATATATAAGATACATGTTCATGTGCAAAATGCCCTTACACTCATACAGTTCATTTACTTTCCTACTGGATGTCAGATTATCCACATGAATGTTAGTTATGGTGGGATATTGTTGATAATACATTTATTTACGTACCATGTATATATAAGATACATGTTCATGTGCAAAATGCCCTTACACTCATACAGTTCATTTACTTTCCTACTGGTTGCTTGGATATGATTAAAGATGATTGTTTATTTATGCCACTACAAACAAATAACTGGGTACAATGAGAATTTCATAACTCTTAAAAATTGACAGTGCTGTAGTTTTGAGATTTGATTACATGAGAAATCTAGGCAGGACAAAATTATATCTTGGATGGTGGAGTTTGATGCTCTGATAGTAAATACTGGGAGTCACATATTGTAGAGTATTTGGAGAGGCCCAAGACACTTTCTCTGCTAGTTAAACTAATCCATCCTGGAACCTGCTGATGGAGAAGAATCTTAGAAATGAGGAGTGAATACATCTCAGATTTAAATTTAAATAAAGGCTGAGTTATTCCTAAAGTTAAAAAATTAAGCCATAATCAGAAAGCATTTGTAATCTTTTTGACTTAGCAATACTGAAATGCAGTGCCAACACTGCTCACACAGCGCTGAGCTGCTCTTAGTTCAAAAACAGGTTCTCCCATTTAGGGGGTCTAAAGGTTAATGTGAACAACTAAAAAGCAAATGTAAAATTGAATTGCTAACTTGAGCAATTAAATTAAGGAGGACTTTAGTTGCTTAATAATGCTCCTGCTTCAGGAAGAGCTAGAAATATTCAGGGTTTACAGTTCATATTAGAATTGTCATGGAGACAAACAATAACAGAGTATGTGTACATTACTACTGCATTTAAATACTTTCCACAATTAAAAAAAAATCAGTTTTCTCTCTGTATACACTGTATAGGTCGTGATCAGTGTGGGATTTGTTAAAATGCAAAGGCGATGCAAACATCATCCATGTGCACACAGAGAGATGCAGTTTTCCTTCTCTTGGCAGGAAAAGCAGAGAAACTGCTGGTTTGGGGTGGGGGGTTGTTTGCTGGGGTGGTTTATTCCACTCCATACCTGCTGCTTCCCTCAAGATCTGCATAGGAATGAGGCTGGGTGCCGAGCTCAGACCCCTGCCATCACAGGCAACCACATTTTCCAATCTCTTGCAGAAAATCAGTGACTGATTTGCTGGGTTTGGTGCTCTGAATTTGGTTTGACTTGTGTTTGATGCGTTAGCTTTAAGCAAGTTTTTATCCTGCGATTTTTGTAAGATAGGTTTTGTCTGTAAAAACCAAAAAATAACAGCAAACACCAAACCAGTGTTGCCTTACAGATTACTCAGCATAGTAGCTACATGTTTCTGGATTTAACTAATAAAGTAAAGCAGAACAAACCATGGAGAAGAAAAGCTGGCACATAATTCTTCTTTGTAATTGCATTTTGTGGGCTTCACTTCAGAAGAGCTTTCTGCTAGTCCATGTTGAATCTTGTCAACCCAACGAATATTTCTGTGTTTGTGCAGTGTGTGTTTGTAAGGGGAGTGAAGAGCAGAGCTCAGTTAATTGCTGTTATCAACATTTACATGCACAACATCATAAATTTACAGAGAATTTAAAAGCTAACATGGGATGTATTTAAGAAAAATTCAAGCAAGAATTGTTCTTTTTAAGTATTTGGCTGCCTAGGGAATTACAGCATTGTGCCTCGTTCACTAGGTCAAAAATAAAAGACAAATATGATTTTAATTAGAGGACAAGTCCATAAAGTGCTTGTCTACCTTACATACTGTTTATGACAGGCTAATAATTGTTCTGGTAAACCATTCAACTACAGATGTGTTCTTGGTGGCTAACAAGTGTTTATTATGCTCTCTTACACATAGCAGTTAGGTAATCTCTTTTTAGTTGCTTTATTAATTTTTTAATATTAAACTTGGAGTGTTTTCTACTGGTTGGTTCTGATTAGTTGCCTACAGGTAACAGGATGATCATGGTTCCCCTGGTGCACTATTGAAAATTCTAGAGATACATAAACCCACAGAATAAATCTGTTCTAATGATTGCTAAATTTTCATTTAGGTGTTTATTTCAGGTTATGAAACATCTAAACTGTTTTGGCAAATACTGCCAATGTCGTAAATATTTATCTGTCGTTCTTTAAGACTTACTCAAAATGGACTGTGCAGGAGGGTCATCCTGGAAGGGGGGGGATTTATCTAATCATGTTCATGTAATTATTTATAGAACTGCAGTGTGGTAGTGTTCTCATGAAGAGAAACAGCCTTTTCCACAGAATGCTTGGAGGGAGAAGGAGAAATGAGAGCTTGATGTTCCTCTAGAAGTTAATCTAGTGAATAGCTGGCTTGTGTGTGGCGTGTTTGGCCATGTAAGGTGTTGAGATCCATGGTGTGCACACAAACAGTTGGTCAGCTCTAATTTGTATCTGAGCTTGTGGCTGACTTCATTAAAATAATCCCCTTTCTAAAATTATAAGCTATTTTGGTGGCAGAAGCTAAAATGGGAAAAACCAGCTCACTAATTTGAAAACCTCCTGGCTCTAGGGTGCCGTGGGCTGTGATGCAGTTTCCCAGCAGAGCAGTTTTCTTACTGCTGCTCAGAGTTAGCAAAGTCTGAGCCTTCTGCCATGGATGACTGGCTGACTGGCTCCCTTTGCCCAGGCTTGGGTGGAATGGCCTGAAACCCTTATAAATTCCTTCCTGCCAAGAACTGGACTGGGTTGAAATTCATACTTGCTTCATTACATTTCTTGATCTTCCTCCAAGCATAGGGGCTCCTGACAAAGTTAATAATGTTGGTGACTTCATTTTCTGTCATGGAAGGCTGCAGAGCATGCCAGTGTCTGTCCTTGGCTGGGGACTGACTACACAGTGCAGGGAGGTGGCAGAAATCAGTGATACCTCCTTTCTCAGTTATATCAAAGCTGTTTCAAAACTAGAGGAAGAGAGCATTGATATTTGTCCCACTATGAGAACTGGTACATAACAGGAGAATTTTGCTCCTGGCAGGATATGAATGAAAAGTTAATTGTGTTTTTGGAAGGAAGAGTGTGACGCCCACTAGAGTCTCTCTTGTGCATAGTTCCTCCTCTTTTAGTTTTAGCATATTTCAGAAAAGTCAAGTTTTTCGATAGGTTTCTGTATTGCCATTTCTAGACACTTTTGATTCATTCCACAGAACACCCACTCTCCAGCAGACTTGCTGATTTCTTCTTGGGATAGGAAAATCTAACGAAATGACACCCGTACCATACACGTGTCACAAAAAGTTTTCATCTTTTTTCTACAATGATTTCTGTTTATCTGAGTGGCCTGGTATAATCTCTCTCTTTTGCAAGTGCCTGTACTCTGTCATGAGCCTTCCTTTGGCCTCGGTGGAATGAAATTACAGTTTTCACATTCAACAACTGTAAGCAGAATAATTCACCTATATGATGTAGGGAAGCAATATATAATAGTTATTTCCTTAATAGTAACATGACTGTCAGGATCCGTGCCTGTTTTCATATTAATATAAAAAAGAATCAAATGAACAAGACTTGCCTCAGTTGGTCCCTTTGGTGGGGCAGCTTTCAGCAGAGACCCAGGGGAGTGAGAAGGATCAAATCTCTTGCTGGAGCTGGGTGCTAAACCCAGCTAAGATTGGGTTGCTGAATAAAGGTTTTGTGTGTAGAGGTTAATTTTGTTGAAATGTCACTGAATCCTGTTTTCCTGTGTATGACAAGCATTAGCATTGTGTGGAACCCTGACAGTTGCCAATTGTCATTGTCCCCAGCAGGTGCTGGGTTCAGAATCAGTACTTTGGATGTTTCTCTTGTCTCTAGCAATCTGATGTGACATGATGGTGTGGTGTTGTGGAGTTTTTTGAGTTTATCTTTGTGGTTTTTTGTTTTGTTTTTTTTTTAAATAATGTATAAATCAATATTCCCTGACAGTTTCTGGCCTTTTCTTTCCTCATTAATAAGCTTCCATAAGAGGCCATGACTATTGGTTCTTCCAACTTACTGATTCTTCTCTATTTTGATGGTGGTGGGCACTCTTTACCTTGAACTCTTCTTTAGTCTGGCTCCTGCCAAAGATGAGCAGTCATCTCATAATGTACATATGTTGCTAAAGCCTGATATTCCTCTGTGGTTTCTAGTGCAATACAGCATTTTCTTCACACCCTGGCAAGTTGAGATGTCAGGATATGATAATATTACACGTAGTAAATTCCTTTTAGTAGCTCCTAGTGTTTTAAAATGACAGCTTTA